TCGTACGGCAGTGAAGGATCGGTGTTGAACACTGATGTCATGCTGTCGATGATGATGATGATGACATGGCACGACGGAGACCATCTTTATTTTCCAATTTGTTTTCAGGCCTCACCCTACTAATCACGACTACAGTCGAGTAATGAACAGCTAATCCATCCGGAACTTCTTCAAAGTTTAGTCAATTCTGTCTGTTTTTTTGTGCGTCTTGCAATTGAGTCCATTCAATATAGCAGGGATGTCTATATTTGCATTCTCCAGGTACTTTGTGGTAAGAGTTTTAAGATATATCGAAAATAACGTTGTAAAATTGGTAAAACAATATATATAGCTTGAATTTTTTCCCAGTACCATCGAATTTTACAGGTGGATTTATTTTCTGAAAGCGGACAGCCTGAGTACTCGCCAAACATAGCCAGATGTCTCTAATGAGTTTCTATCTCCCATTTTGCTTTATGGCCAATCAGCGTCAGGAAATTCCAAAATTTTTACAGAAATTATGTTCCATCGCTAGAATTTGTTGCTCGTGCTGGTAAAAGCGGCGTCAAATCCTCCCCATCGTAAGTTTCTCTCGTCTTCATAGGTCCGTTCATTCGCACGCTCAACCGCCTACCTCTTTATACGTTTCGTCGTGACACGAACCAAAAGCAACCCTAGATTTGCTCACGTCATTACACCCTTTTTGTCAGCCTGTCCATTCAATACTTTATCTCAAAGACGCAAAATACGTTTTTTTAGTAACACACAGCTCAGGCAGACCTACGGTGAGAACAGGCGTGCCCAACAAAAATCAATATGGAGTTTGAAAAGTTGGACAAAAGTTTGGACACGGCGCGGTACTTGAACGAGCCAATAGTGAGTGATACCAGCTTCTGACTGGTTTGTTTAGAATGCCTTTTCGAGTGGAAACGTATCCTCCTGAATTGAACCGACATTGGTTCATATGCGGATACATTGTGCCATCCTGTTTTGCTCTATCCTGTCTGGAGGCATAATGAATAAATCACTACTCTCCATTCACAGTAATATTTTTTAGTTCATGCTGTACCCGAAATATCTACTAACCAGCTGTGGATTGAAGGAGATGGAACGATATCACTCGTTCTGTAATTCTTTCTCAGAAATGATTCCTATCCGGCCAACAACTGCAGCTCTACGAAGATTCGAGCTCCCAACCTTCCAATAAGATTGTCATCAAGCTAGGTGTGATTGGCCAGATGTCAGTCTAACTCATTTCTAGACATTTAAATTGAGTCCTTCGGATATCCACCCTAAGGTATTCCAATGCATGTCGAACGGGTAGATACCATCGATCTAAAACCGTCTGAAAATCTAAGGTGTCCTAAATTCAGGTCGGTAGTCCTGAAGACAAATCGTTATCGCCAACCAATATTTGAGTAGACGGAATGGTTGCATTTGTTAAACTGACCTTTCTAATGCCGAGCCTGTTCGTCCTTGGTCGCGAAGTGGCCACTTTGCCGAATGATTGGAAAACAAGTACATGTTGAAATGCCTGCTCATTTCACGTTTGATTCATTTTTACAGTACACCCTGGCGAACCAAACTTGAGCCAGACAGGATTTCTTTCCGTGACTTTGAATTAAGCAGTTTCCTAAAGTATACGGAACAGTTTGACGGAAACTGAACGTAGTGTGAACCGAATTCACAACCTACAGCGCACATTAAATGGATAGTTTTGACTGTGATCTCAAGTGTAGCGAATGAAGTCATGCAAAATATAAGCACATAGCTACTTAATTTAGTAGCTATTTAACTGGATCATGAGTACAGTTTGGCACTGGAAGCAGATTTACTGTACCGCGGTCCCAAAAAAACAGAAGCCACGCTTCGAGAAAACGCTTACACGAGAAACGCATCTACAAGATTAACCCTCACAAACGACTTCTTGTAACGTATCCCTGAAGGATTCTCACTTTGACAATCAAACTACAGACTGGTAACTGTAGAAAAATATGAGTCCTTCCGGAGTTTAGCGGCCGAAATAGTAAGGTTCGCCGTGCAGGTAAATTTGGCTTGGTTGCAATTTAGGGGTTTTGCGGGATGAGTACTTCGTTCATAGCCACACCACTCTAGTTTGAACGGCTGTGTTCCTGTTCTGGAGTAATTATCCCGGTGAGTTCACACCAAAGGAAAGCACTGGACTCGATTTGAACCCCGAACATCTGACAAGCGAGGCGGGCGTGTAACCACTACTAGTTTAACCACTACTAGTCGGGCACACCAACCACATCGCTCAAGTGTGAACACGTTCGCCTGTTCAGACGTGATAATTCAGATGCGCTCAACGTGCGTTGGTGGAGTAGTGGTTGCATGCTCGCCTCGCATGTCAGATGTCCGGGGTCCAAATCCCGGCACAGCCATTGGATATGCACTGCTGATGAGCTCTAATAAGAGCGAAACTCGAGTCCAGTGCTTCCCTTTGGTGTTGACTCACCGGAATAATTACGCCAGAACTGGAACACGACCGTTCAAGCGAGAGTGGTGTGGCTATGAACGAATTTGGCTTAACCTATGACAAACTACAGAGACTCAGATTAAAGAGTGAACCTCATCCGAGTCAATGAGTGAGAATCGATCCCGTAACGACTGACCTTGTTTAGGAGAAAACCACACGCCTCATCATGTTAGCCTACTCGAGTAGGATAGTTCGTATTCCCCCGGGTGTTTGTTCATATTCATTAATTAGGTCACCTGCCCAACAAATATCCTCATGTTGAAGCAACATATCAAAATGGAAATCCGTGACGTGACGAATAGGAGAATAGATTCAAATGTGATTCAAAAAGTAGACTTCTTTCTCCGAGTTTAAATTTGCGAAGCAAGATCATGTGATGTGGGTGATGTGTGCATTTTAGCAAGCATTAACTAAAACACACTAGTAGTAGGTCAAATCCAAAGGTCAATGTCCTCATGCATGCACTTCCAACGGGATAAACAAAAACTCACTTCCCGAAACTCCAGAACTCGTCCTTCGACAACGAGAACGAGGAAAAACGGAAACAGGTGAAACCTGGACAAAAGATTCAAATGAAGTGACAATTCTACCCGAGAAATCTGCCCCCGTGCACAATAGGGATGAGTACGTTGCCTGTGTCAACTGAGAAAATATCAAATCCATCTTATCTTACATGTATGCTTGGTATTGCAACCGGACGGTCTTGTTGGAGCTTTTGTCCAAGCATCTGTCTAAGTAGTACACATGAAACCGTTTCTCAGTGGAACCAAGATCTCCGCTGAGTACACTAGTGCCTCTCCCATTAGGTGCATAAAACCGGAATGTGAACGACACAGTTTTCCATCAGTGACACAGAACTGGGAAGTGTAATGACTGCAAGACACACCCCAAGACAGGTCAGCACCTTCTTGGACCGTCGCAGCACAATTACCTGCGAAAACGATGAGCTGATGTAAAAAAAAACACAGTGTCCATCATATTCTTCCCGCCGTTCAATTTCCATTGCTTGCAAAAATACGCGCGGAATTGGTTTCAACCGAAAGTTCAACCAAAAATTACCTGAATCTCTGTCGTTTATGATATTTTTCAACTGAATGTGCCGCACAAAGACCATCTCATGTTTCATTTGTTATTTGTTATTTGCTATTGTTTCATATGCTATTCGGGATCTCGCAGTATTTATTCTTTAAGGAACGCTACTCACAAGGTTTCTGAACCGGTCGTGTGTTGCCGAGACGTTTTCATCAACCTCCTCCAGAATTCCACATTTGCTAATACACTTTTGACTGAAAAACGAAGCCTTCTGAGTTTCCGGTTGACAAACTTGATCCAAGTGATAGAATGCGGAAGTTCCGTCTTTCTTCTACATTCCTACATTTGCACAAACTTTTCTGCTGATCCGTGTGATCGCGGGTTCATCACGTAGCCGAAGTTCTGCTGAAACAGTTCTGAACTTGGCATAGACTGATGGTGGTTGTCTACTGATACTTGTCTTGGACAAAATGTCACGTTCGCTATGCGAATCTGTCAAGTTTGCTATTATCAACATCGAAACACACGGATTTTACATGACACGCGCCAGTTTCTATGAGAACAGACACCAAAACCAAAGGTCACTAGCATCGAACCTGTCCGCGCGCTTTCATCTCAGCTGTTCATGGTTAATTAATACAACCGTGAAACGATGTGAAAATGTAAGTGATATTTCGACGGTCTGACAGTTTGTAATCTGCTGTGTTTTTTTTTGGAAAACCGTCGGGACATGTGTCTGCGTGTGTGAGGTTGATTGGAGAAATATCTACCATCAGTAAACACTCATTTGTAAACGAATTTGATTTTGACAGGAGACTCATCAGAATCCAGCTGAATCTCTCGTTTACAATGGTCGGCTTCAACTGAATCTGCTGCAACAGACCACGTCATGTCTCGAGTACCCTTACCGGAGCAGCCCTCGGGTAATTTGCATCAAGTGAGAACCTCCAGTCTGACAAAGCGGCCCAGAAAGCGACGATCCGTTAATGCGTGAGAAAGTTTGAGAAGCGATGCAGTTTAGTGTAGCAAAATGGGTGATCCTGCCGAGCCCTGGTTCTCTCTCGACTGCATGGACCGGCTCACCATGTGGATTCACGGGCCTGATGGATCATCGGCGTACTCTGATGTTCACCGGCCAAACTAACCGAGATGAGTTTTATTCCGGTTTTTAATCACCACCTGCCCAACAATGACACCACAAGACATTATTGATCACATTGTTAATATACTAACACCAGGTTATCGATTGCTACATTGTTAGTCATTTAGTGGGAGACTGGGATGACTGCATGGTGCCGTGCTGGAGGAGTAGTATACCAGTACACGGGACAGACTCGTGGGGTTCACGTGTGAGGAATGTGGCAAGTCCTGCAAATCGAAAGCTGGCTTGGTAGCCCACCATCGCGTTCACGACAATGAAAGTGTTCGTACGAACTTGGTCGCCCAATTGGCCTGCGCTGATTATTCCCGAGACGATTGGCTTAAGTCAACATCGCCGGCACACACACCCCACCCAGCATAATGCAGATAAGCTTGGCCGAGTGAAGAAATCCGATGTCCGCTGGTCCCAACAAGAGTCACGATCACTCTTGCCTAGCTACCAACTTATATCCGT